GTCTTTCCCGCCATGCTTTCTTTTGGATTGCATTCTCATGCATGTTCCTGTGGCAAGTGTTCCCCTCCTTCTTTGCCCCTGCTCTGCAAGCTCTTTCCTTGCTGTGCATGATGTCCAACAACCGCGATGCTCGCATTTTTGGATCTGCTACTCCCAATACTGGCTTCGGTATTCTCTCCTTTACTCTTGACTGGTCCAACTTTGGCACCTACTTCATGCCCTTGTCGACTCCATGGTGGGTGTCGGCCAATTTCTTTGTTGCCAACGCCTTTATTTTGTGGATCGTGGTTCCCATCGTCTATTACAAAAATGCATTCCATAACCCCACAATCAAGGGTGCGTACGTCTTTCAAGATGGTAGCGATTTCCCCCGAATTAACTCTCCATCTCTATACGACAGAACTGGCTCCAGGGTTAATCCCACCAAGTTTTATAACCAGGGAATTTATGATCTCAATACCACTGCTTATGAAACTTATGCTCCCATCTATCTTACTGAAAATTTTGCGGTTACCTACGGTACTTCGTTTTTTGCCCTTACTGCTGGTATCATGCACGTCGGACTCTGGTACCACAAGGACATTGTACGTCAAACCAAAGAGATGCTTGCTCAGGTCGGCGAGGAAACTCCTGATATTCACAACGAACTCATGAAGGCTTATCCAGATATTCCCGAGTACATGTATCTTGGCTGGTTTGCTTTTTGGATGGCTATTCAGTTTATGGTTGGATACCTTACTCCCTTCAAACTCTCATGGTGGGGTACCATCCTGGGTTTCATTATTGGTATTGTTTTCCTTGTCCCATATGGAATTATCCAAGGCTCCACTGGACAGCAGCTTGGTCTTAACATTTTGACTGAATTACTCATGGGTTTGATGATTCCTGGCCAAACCATTCAGGTCATGACATTCAAATCGTATGGTTACAACATCATGATTCAGGCTCTTGCGCTTTCTTCTGACTTGAAGATTGGCCATTATTTGCACATCAATCCCATCCACATGGTCTTTTCTCAGTTGTTTGGTACCATCATTGGTGCAGCCTGCAACACTGCCTCTGTCTGGATTGCCATTTCTTATTTCCCTCTCGATACTCCTGACTGGACTTATCCTGGCCACACCACTTTCTACAGCGCCGGTGCTATTTGGGGTGCTATTGGTCCAGCACGTTTCTTTGGTCCATCTTCGCCATATTATGCTCTGAACTTGGGTTATCTGTTTGGTTTGATTTTACCCGTTCTCCCCTTTCTCGGTAACAAGTTTTATCCCCACCCATACTGGCGCTTCATTCATTTCCCCATCATGACCAATATCTTTTACACTGGTGGTATCATCTCCGCCGTATCCTCATTCATTATTGTTGCATTCATTTTCCAGTACGTCATCTTCACATATGCTCACGGCTGGTGGGAGAAATACAACTACGTTCTCTCTGCTGCCTTTGATGCTGGCTCGGGTATAGCTGTTCTTATTACTACTCTTGTTGGCTTTAAGATTGTTATTCCTCCTTCGGCCGTCAACCCAGCCATGTATGATTTCTATTGCACTGGCACCAACTGGGATGATGCGCAATTCCAATAAGCTTCGAAATATATTTGTACACCAATAGCACCTTGTTTTATCTTGCCTTGTGTAGTTCTCAACCACATTTTAAAATAAATACTAAAATTTATATTGAAATAAAATCTCTTGATTATAAACTACAGCCATGTCCATGTAACATGGAATACTTGCATTCATCTTGTAGTAATTGCATTTTACTTTCAAATAAACAGTCGTCAAATGTTCATTATGCTTTACTACGCTTTACTATGCTTACTACCAAAAACCGACTGCTTGT